CGAGCCAGTTCATCGCCGCAGAGACATGGATGGCCGGGAGGCACGAAGAGCACAAGAGGGTCAAGCCGGAGCCGCCCCGGCAGCAGCAATCCGCGGCGCCTCGACGTAGGTTGGACAGATCCGACCCGCCGGCACCGAGACCCCCTCTCCCCGCCTTGACCGCGTCCCGAACATAAATATTTCTCCACATAAGGGAGAAGGGACTGCTCAAAGAGCCCTACCCGATGAGGAGTCCGCGGGAGCTGGCGGATCGATCGAAGTACTACTGCTTCCACCGGCAGCATGGGCATGACACTGAACAGTGTCGGGAGTTAAAAAGGCAGATCGAGGAGCTCATTCGTAGAGGACATCTAGGCTAGGTTCTTCTGGTCTCTGGTGGAGCGACCCCCCACGACGGTACCCAAGATGCTCCAGCGAGCGAGCCAGTTCATCGCCGCAGAGACATGGATGGCCGGGAGGCGCGAAGAGCATAAGAGGGTCAAGCCGGAGCCGCCCCGGTAGCAGCAATCCGCGGCGTCTCGACGTAGGTTGGACATATCTGACCCGCCGGCACCGAGACCCCCTCTCCCTGCCTTGAACGCGTCCCGAACAGAAATATTTCTCCACATAAGGGAGAAGGGACTGCTCAAAGAGCCCTACCCGATGAGGAGTCCGCGGGAGCTGGCGGACCGATCGAAGTACTGCCGCTTCCACCGGCAACATGGGCATGACACTGAACAGTGTCGGGAGATAAAAAGGCAGATCGAGGAGCTCATTCATAGAGGACATCTCGGCCAGTACCTTCGGCCGGACAAGGAACTTTTGCTGCGCCCGGAGGGTCCCATCGAACGACATATCGACGTGATAGCTGGCGGCCCCACATCTGGCGGGGATTCCATGACCAGAAGAAAGGCATACGCCCGAGCCGCCCCGGCCGAAGTTCCCAGGCAAGGGCCCGAGCCCGAGGTTACTTTCCCGGCCGGAGCATCCGACCAATCCGAGCACGACGATGCGCTCGTGATATCGGCCAGGATCGCCAATGCGCAAGTAAGAAGGATCATGGTCGATACCGGGAGCTCGGCTGACATACTCTACTTCGACGCCTTCCAAAAGCTTGGCTTGTCCGGAGACAACATGAAGCCGATATTCTCGGCACTCACCGGATTCACCGGTGATTCGATCTCACCGCTGGAGGCAATCACTTTGCCCTTGACCCTGGGAGCCCCACCGAGGTCGAAGACAGTGATGACCACCTTCTTAGTGATCGACCTCCCCACTGCATACAACGCCATTCTCGGCCGGCCGACCCTCAACAAAGTTAGAGCCGTCGTCTCAACTTACTACCAAACCGTGAAGTTCCCGACCCACGCCGGGACCGGAGAGGTCACGGGAAGCCCTCGAGAATCCAAGCGCTGCTACCTGACCGTCGTTTCGTTACACAAGAGAGCAAGGGTCGAACCACCATTGGCGAACCCTCGGGAGGCGAAGAAGCCAGCCCCCCATCCTGAGCCGAGGGGGTCCACCATCGACTTGCCGCTGCTAGAGAGTCGGCAAGACCAGACGGTCAAGATCAGATCGGAGCTACCCGAGCAAAAACGAAGGCAGCTCGTCGGCTTCCTACAGAAAAATACCGACGTCTTCGCTTGGTCGCCATCTGACATGACGGGCGTCGACCCGGAGGTCGCACAACATCACCTCAATATTTCACCCGACGCTCGCCCGGTAAAGCAAAAACCCAAACGGCAGGCCCCTGATAGGCAGTTGGCTATACGAGAAAAAGTGGGCCGACTTTTGGCGGCAGACTTCATAGAAGAAGCCAGATACCCACGATGGCTATCCAATGTAGTCCTCGTCAAGAAACCTAATGGAAGCTGGAGGATGTGCGTTGATTACACCAGTCTCAACAATGCATGCCCGAAGGATTGCTACCCCCTTCCAAAGGTCGACCAGTTGGTCGACGCTACAGCCGGACACGCCCGCCTCTCATTTATGGGCGCCTTCTCGGGATACAACCAGATTAGAATGGCACCCGAAGACCAAGAGCATACGGCCTTTCTCACCTATCAAGGGGCTTACTTTTATAAGGTCATGCCCTTCGGATTGAAGAACACCGGGGCTACATACCAGAGAACAGTGAACAAGATGTTCGCCCACCAGATCGGGCGGAACATGGAAGTTTATGTTGACGACATGATTGTGAAAAGCCAAGAGGCAGGAGACCACCTGGCCGATCTGGCCGAGGCATTTGCCACGCTACGTAAGTACGGCATGCGACTCAACCCCGCGAAGTGCGCCTTCGGCATCACCTCGGGAAAGTTCCTTGGGTTCATCATATACGAAAGAGGAATTGACGCCAACCCGAAGAAAGTTCAGGCGAGCATCAATATGCAGTCACCTCGGACGATCAAAGACCTGCAACGCCTTAACGGGAGTCTCATCGCCATGTCCCATTTCCTTGCCCGGTCGGGTGATCGCAGCCTCCCCTTCTTCAGAGCACTGAAGAGCCCGAAAAATTTTCAATGGACGGCGTAATGCGAGGAAGCCTTCAAACAAATGAAGCAACACTTGGCCAACCTCCCCCGACTTGCCTCAGTCTCTCCTGGGGAGAAGCTAGGCCTCTACCTGGCTGCCTCCCAGCACGCAGTCAGTTCCGTCCTGGTCAAAGAAAATTCCGGCGAACAGCTTCCGGTCTACTATGTCAGCCACGTCCTGAACGGGCCCGAGAAACGATACCCACCGATCGAGAAACTGGCAGTTGCGCTCGTGCTATCAACCCGGAAGCTACGCCCCTACTTCCAGGCTCACCCGGTGGAGGTCATCACCGACCAACCACTTCGGCAGATCTTGTCTAAATTTGATGTTGCAGGACGTCTTCTCAAATGGGCAGTGGAGCTCGGCGAGCATGACGTACAGTATGTGCCCAGGACCGCTATCAAAACCCAGTTCGTGGCCGACTTCATCGCAGAATTAACCCAGATCGAGGACGAGGGTCTCGAGCAACCTCCCGAAGCTTGGGTCCTGCACGTCGACGGATCGGCCAACTCAAAGGGGCTGGTGCTGCTAGCTCCCGACGAGCGGTCGTTTGAGCGCTCCCTCCGCTTCGGGTTCCAGGCCACTAACAACGAGGCAGAATACGAGGCACTCCTAGTAGGACTCAGGTTGGCCCTCGAGATGCAGGTGGTCGTCATACGCGTCCTCACCGACTCGCAACTAGTAGCCGAGCAACTCAGCGGGGGATACGAGGCTCAGGACCCGATCATGGCGAAGTACCTGGCACAGGTAAAAAACCTGACCGCCAAGTTCCCTCATTTTACATTATCTAATGTCTCGAGGGGAGAAAACGAGCGAGCCGACACCCTAGCTAAGCTGGCGTCAAAGCCAGCCCTCGAAGCCGGGCCCGAGGTCGAGGAGCTCCTTGCCCGTGCCATTGAAATTGCAGCGGTGACCTCGGGCGACGCGCCTACCACCTGGGTACAAGAATTGCTACGCTTCAAGCGGGACGGGACCCTTCCTCCCGACGAGGCTACGGCTCGGCGCCTGCGTCGCACGCATGCGTGGTACACCGAGGTGAGTGGAAGGCTCTATAAGCGGTCCTTCACATACCCCCTCCTATGGTGCGTGGAGCCCGATGAAGCTCGGACGGTTCTGGCTGAGGTCGGGTCTACGGGGAGCACATCGGCGGGCGAACCCTGGCGCACAAAATACTTCGCCAAGGTTACTACTGGCCGACCATGTGTCGGGACGCGAAGGCCTACGTGCAGCGGTGCAGTTCGTGCCAAGAACACGCCCGCACACTCCGGCAACCCGCGGTCTCACTCACCCCCATCGATTACGCATGGCCATTCGCGCAGTGGAGTTTGGACCTGCTCGGACTTTTCCCGCCAGCCTCGGGACAGCGGAGATATATCATTGTGGGAGTGGATTATTTCACAAAGTGGGTCGAAGCCGAGCCACTGGCGACGATCACGGAGCGTCAAATTGAGAAGTTCGTATGGAGGAACCTGATGACTCGGTTCGGTTTGACCAGAACCATCATTACAGATAATGGGCCCTAGTTCGTCGGTAGAAGGTTCCGGGAGTTCTGTGCAAGCCACAGAATCCAACTAAAGTTCAGCTCGGTGGCTCACCCCCAGACGAACAAGCTAGCGGAGTTAACCAATTGGTCCATTCTAGATGAGCTCAAAAGGAGTGTCCGCAGCCCGATCGGCTTGGGCGTACGAACTCCCGAGCGTCTTATGATCGTTACGCACCACCCCCAAAACCGCGATTGGAGAGTCCCCCTACAGACTCGCGTTCGGAACCGAAGCTGTCCTACCGTTGGAGGTGGCTATTCCCACCCTTCGAACAAGAAACTATGATGAGAAGGTCGTGAACGAAGGACTTCGAGCCACCCTCGACATGCTCGAAGAACGGCGTGCCGATGCACACTTGAAAGCCTTCTCTTATAAAAGAGCGGTCACGAGGGTCTACAACCGGAAGGTACGACCCCGACCCATTAAACTAGGCGACCTAGTCCTACGGAAGGCCGAGGTTAGTGATCCGACACGAGCGCACGGTAAGTTAGCTCCCAATTGGGAAGGCCCTTACCGGGTGACCGAAGTTGTCAGGGTCGGTACATACCGACTCGCGACGATGAAGGGCCGCCCTTTTGTCACGGACTTAGCTGGTTTTGCCTAAGTCATGCGGCACCCTTGCGTGTCCGTCCGCAAAGGTCAGCCTCCCCGAAGCCTCCCATTGTCCCTTAGGACCAACAAAAGAGAGAACGGGTTAGAGAGAATGCCTCAATCGAGATCCACAAGCAAACATCTCCGAAAAACACTTCATAGACAATGCAAATTACAAACAGATTTTACAAGCTCTGAACAGTTGCACAACAAAGGGTAAAATGGTCCATTATAGACCGAGAATCTCTCGCACGTGTCCACATGACACAATCTTTATTTACAAGCCTAAAGATGCCACCAACCCAACTAAAATGAGACTATTTAGCCTTCGGCTATCCCCCTACATGCTGTACAAGGCATGAACATACAAAAAGACACTGACATACATAAACATTACATCAAACATCCTGTTTAGAAGTTTGTCTATGACATTCTCCTCCACTTATTCCTTTGACGTCCTTGTTGAAGCCTTTGTCGACACTGTAACTCCTCGCCTTTGCTGAGTCTTCAATCTTCTACTCCAACTACAATGCGCCTCTTGGCTCCTAGTTGCTCTCCGCGACTGTTTTTGAGTAGTCGAACCTTTGATCTGCCATGCTGCTTCAACTCACTAATGACTCTGACTCTGGTGTGGGGTTGGCTGAGTTGTGTTGATCATTGTTGATTCCTGCGGATCCCCTAGATGAAAGAAAAGACCATCCTTACTGCGCCAGTCTCTCAAATTCCTCATGCTGCTTGAACTGGGTGGATGCTTGTTGGAGCTTTAACGAGCATCGTCTCGTAAACTTTTGAAGTTTTAGGTCCTTCCTCCACAAAATTTACTCATTGACTTTTCTTTCACTTAGTTGTCATATCCAAGTAGGTTCGCATCACTTCCACTTTCGATTGGCATTTCGTTGGGAAATGAAGCGGACAATCTAATCTCAGTAACACTGATCACCGTTAGTAAGGATTTGACAACTATTGTCTTCCATTATCTTCGAAGGGTCTTTGAACATATGCAGAGCTCCTCTGCTAGATAGATAAGAGAATTGGGGTACTCGGTTTCGCCCATTCTCTTAAGAGTTGAGAAGGCAAAGGTTACTTGACTTCGCCCGCCTCCTCGAGGTTGTACTCCATGCATCGAGCTGGTTACTGGCCTTCGCCTGCTATTTGCTCACACTTCTGAAGCACTTGAAGTGTTTGCACTCCTTGCGTTGAGTTAGTTACTGTGATTCACCTTCTCAATGCTATCGAACTTCTGGAATGCAAGAAGTTTTCACCCCAACTTGGAGTAATTCTCTCATAGGTTTGGTCGCCTTTAGGATTGTACCGTCTTCTCCATCAACCCTGTCGCCTACTCCACTGAGTAGCAAAGGTACAGCACCGCGTACTGCCTGCTTCGTTCCTTGGTTATGCACTCTTGCATGACCCGAAGTCCTTCACTTTCAGCTATCTTGATGAGAAGCTCATTGACACCGGTCTTACGAAGTTCCTCGACCTCTGCCCTTCAGCCTTGTCTCGGTACTTGGAGATTGCCTCTGCATTCTCCACCTCCTCGGCCCCTTTCACGACCAAGCGCTCTCCCTCCATGAGAGCAAGGGATCAATGACTTTCACGGAAGTCCCGCCTCTGCGGTACCATGGCGCTGCCATGCCCATGGTACTACTATCTGTCACCTCGCATCTGCATCCCTTTTCTTCACAATCAGTAGATATGCCTCTGTAGCACTCCTCCGAATCCACCTACATTCTAACTGATGCTTGATTTTGGGTAGCTAAGTCTCTTTGGACTCGTCATCGCTTCCTCACCCTTTTCGACCCCCTGCTACAACACCTCTGTGTTCTCCAAGCAGCTCTCCTTTGGTCGATGGAAAGACAGACTACAACTCCCATGCATGGCCTCTGCCATCGCATTATAGGGTCTGCACCGATTCTGTTCTCCTTAGCTTCCTTGGTAGCAATGTTCACTTACTCGACCTTGTCCTCTGACTTGTCGGGCTCCCTTAAGCGAATATGAGCTCTAGAGCAGTCCAACTCTCCAACTGCTTCGATCATACCTCTGCATGATCAAGTCCCTCCCATGGAACTCACTGGTACTTGCATTCGAACTTTTCCCTTGGTGGAACACATCCCCCATATGCTGATGACCAAGGTTTTCATCCGATGTAAAATTCGATGCACGCACGGAAGACCCGCCTCTGCGGTACCATGGCCTTCACTCCTTGAATCCATAGCCCTTCTTGCCGTCATGTTGTTCACCGAAGTGGAGCTTCCAGTAGCTCCCGATCATACCTCCGTATGATATAGTCCCTCACGGGACTATGTCGTGTGTATCGCATTACCATGAACTGTTCCACCACGATCCGCTGCACCATGTCGCCTCTTGGTGACATCTCCATTGCATTCTGATCCTTGTGGAATAAACTCGAATTGTAAACCCTTCATGTGTGGCCTCTGCCAATACATCGCAGGGTCTCTTCCACCTTTGATTTTGTTCGCTCATTTGGCAACCGACCTTCATCCACCCACTCTTGGGTCACACCTAGATGAAGCACCGCTCTAGGACAGTCCGTCGCCTAGTAGCTCCCGAAGTCCCCTAACTTCGCTACAATTAGTGCACCATTGTCTGGATCCTGGGCCTCTGCCCCTACCAGCACAATCTCTGCTGCGCACCGCTTCCTTCATGGCAACTTGAATGGCAACACTGTGGCATATTCTTCAAGAGTACCCGCCTCTGCGTCCTCTTGCCTCGTGCTAAGGCCTTCTGAACCCAACTTCGCCTCCGCAAATTAAGTCGCCTTAGTTCCTCCATCAAATGCTCCTCCGAGATAAGGTGCATGTGCTCAGAAGCTCCCTTCATCTTTGGCACCATGCAAGATGAGCCCTC